AGTCTAAAAAAGGACTAAACCCAGTCTAAAAAAGGACTAAACCTTTCCTAAAAAAGGACTAAACTAAAAAAGGGACTAAACCTGGCCTAAAAAAGGACTAAACCCAGTCTAAAAAAGGACTAAACCCAGTCTAAAAAAGGACTAAACCTGGCCTAAAAAAGGACTAAACTCTAAAAAAGGACTAAACCTGGCCTAAAAAAGGACTAAAGTTAGTCTAAAAAGGGACTAAACCTGGTCTACAAAAGGACTAAATTTGGTCTAAAAAGCACTAAACCTGGTCTAAAAAAAGGACGACACGCGGTCTTAAATAGGATTAAACCCGGTGTAAAAAAAAAAAGTACTAACCTAGGACTAAACCAGGTGTAAACCATTCCCAGCCATTACTGATGTATCTGAAAACAAGGCCAAACTAGGACTGAACCAGAACCAGGTCTACATCAGGATTATAACCGTGATTAAACTAGGACTAGGACAAACTTGGACTTAAACATAAATAGATCAGGCCTAAACCAGGACTAAACCAAGCTAAAAAGTCTCAAACAAGACCGCATCTCTATTCTTGATCTGTAACAGAACCGAATACAAAACCGCAAAAGCAAAACAGATTTTTTAAATATTTTTCGATGTTTTTTATGTTTCACTTTTCATTCAAACCTTAATTACTTTAGTTTAGATTTCCTACAGTGAATACTATGCAGATTTAGACACTGTAAAGTAGTGTGTGCATCTTCATCCAACTCATCGTCCTCCTCCTCCTCCTCAGATCTTTGCTCTGGTTTTGGCTCCTCTCCCGTCGCTAACAGGCGGACATGTTTGTGACAAAGTGGAGAAATGGGTGGGCGATGGAGAAGAGTGCGATCTGCTCACATATGGGATTAAACAACAAAAATGTTTGGAATTTTAAAATTTTTGAGAACCTTAATTATGATTTAAGAATTTTTGATTTCACTCCAACTTAATTACTTTAGTTTAGATTTCCTACAGTGAATACTATGCAGATTTAGACACTGTAAAGTAGTGTGTGCATCTTCATCCAACTCATCGTCCTCCTCCTCCTCCTCAGATCTTTGCTCTGGTTTTGGCTCCTCTCCCGTCGCTAACAGGCGGACATGTTTGTGACAAAGTGGAGAAATGGGTGGGCGATGGAGAAGAGTGCGATCTGCTCACATATGGGATAAATAAACAAAAATATTCAAAAATGTTGGCGTAATTATCCAGTTTTGAGAAAGAGAGAAGTAAGATGAGAGATTTGTAACTAAACTAAATGGAGGTAATACGAGTTTATAATTGGATAGTTATTCAAAGCTGCATTGTGTAACTTTTCTTTTTCTGGTGGAAGATCCGTCAATTTTTTTCTTCATGGAGATGTTATTGCTTTGTCTGGAATGTTCCACAGTATGGTATTAAACTTTTCTAGCTTCATGGAAACCAAACTAGGCCAAGTTAGGGGTCAGATCTGTGGAGAGGCGACCCCGCACACAGTCAGAATTAGGGCTGGATATCATTAAAAAGTTGCAGATACGATACATATCTCGATACACAGGCCACGATACGATACATATCTCGATACACAGGCCACGATACGATACATATCTCGATACACAGGCCACGATACGATACATATCTCGATACACAGGCCACGATACGATACATACCTCGATACATAGGCCACGATATGATACATACTCGATACATAGGCCACGATACGATACATATCTCGATACACAGGCCACGATACGATACATATCTCGATACACAGGCCACGATACGATACATATCTCGATACACAGGCCACGATATGATACATACCTCGATACATAGGCCACGATACGATACATATCTCGATACATAGGCCACGATACGATACATATCTCGATACACAGGCCACGATACGATACATATCTCGATACATAGGCCACGATATGATACATATCTCGATACATAGGCCACGATACAATACTTATCTTGATACACTGCACTTTCGATTCAATACAATATATCATTATATTTCAAATCTATTTGATATGATAAAAAATAAAGTCTAAAAAAAATGGCTGTGGTACTAAAAGTCTTTATTAAACCACTTCTTGTGCAAATACATTTTAATCATCAAAACAGTGAAAACGTCAAATGTGTCACATAAACAATTTTCTTTCCACTAAAGAAGCAACAAAACTGTAGCTCTGTAACAACATGATTTAGTAAAATACATCAAAAAATACTCTTGGCCATATATCGATACAGCAGCCCACGATATCGATACTGTATCATCACATAAAATGATCCGATATATTGATATTTTGACATTTTTGCACACCCCTAGTCAGAATGTGTGTTTTTAAAAATACTTTTGAACTATAAAACCACCTGTAATTGAAAAAATGTAAAGTACAGCTGTTTAATGTCACACTGTGGAACATGACATGGAACATTTTGATTTAACACATTTTACGATAGACTCTAAATTTTCATTTTGTTGAAACGATAGACATACAGTAGCTTACCCGCCACTAGTTTCAAATAGGAAGTGAGCATGGGGGCACTTCCTGGCTCCATCGACTCTGGCTCTAATTGACTTTACACTGAAAAAATGTCTCCCCTCTTCTCTGTAACTGCTGCTGTGAGCCTTGTTTTATTTCATAATTTGGTCCGTAAATAAACTCATATTCCTAAAACAGACTTGCCTACAAATTCACTCCTATAACTGTTGGCCTCGATGAGCTTCATTTGACTGGAGCCGAACGCTGTGGGCGATGTCACTCTCCCTCAGTCTGCTTCTTTCTACAGTTGATGGACTAGATCGTTCATTCATATTAATGACAAGATCGGTTTATTATTTAAAGGTGCATTATGTAACATTTCTGGTGGATGTTTCGTCATGTTCTTGTCTCTGTGGGGATGTTATTATTTTGAGAGGAAGGTTCAGTATGACATTAAACTTTTATAGCTGAAACAAAATACACTGAAAAACATAATGTTCTTACTCTGAGTAGTGTCACCTCTCCGTAGATTTGACTTGTAATTTAGCCTAGTGGTGTCACCTGCTTTTGTCCATGGATAAGTTTTAATAACGTAACATTCCTGACAAAGCAATATCATCTGTGTAGCCCCAGAAAATCAACCAAAAAAATTAACAATATACTTTTTTGAATATGGATAATAATGTAAGGTTGAATAACTTTGAGGAAATATCTGATTCTAATATCATTTTTTTCTGACAATCATTGCATTTTAATTTTTATTTTTATTTTTATTTTTTTCAAATAAAGATTCAGCTCTCAGTGCACATTTTAAACAAATCTAGGAACGTTCACATTTGAGAGAGACTGAAACATTAAAATCTTATACAAGGATAACATGCATTTCAGAACATGTTTGTAGCAATAGTTATCTTTGTGAGCGCAACCCCACCATCCTACCGTGTTTGCTTTCCTGTTTCAAATGTAGTCAACCCCTGTATTGATTTACAAAAACCAATAAGGAGTCATTGTTTATTGTACCATATTTTTCGGACTATAAGTTACTCTGGAGTATAAGTCGCACCAGCCAAAAAATGCATAACAAAGAAGGAAAAAACATAAATAAGTTGCACCAGACAATAAGTCGCACTTTTGGGGGAAATTTAAATGGTAAATGGTCACATTTTTCTATAGCGCTTTTTCCACCTTCAAGGCACTCAAAGCGCTTTACAACAAGGAACCACTCACCCATTCACACACACACATTCACACACCAGTGTACACAGACACTGTGGGCAAGGTGGGTTAAGTGTCTTGCCCAAGGACACAACGGCAGCATTCATCTGTGGGAGCTGGAATCACACCAGCCAACCTGTGGGTCAGTGGATCTGACTGCTCAACCTGAGATGTTTATGTCGAGAGCTGGAATCGAACCACCAACCTTCAGATCAGTGGGCGAAAGCTCTACCAACTGAGCTACTGCCGCCCATTTATTATATAAAATCAGAGACCAGGAAGCAACATTTCATCTTGAAAGTCAAGTTATAGTAAAAAACAACAGAACAGAGAACAACAGACTGTTAACGTCACATATGAACAGTTCTTCAGATAACTTTAACATAAACAACAGAACAGAACAAGTTTACCAAACTCTCCATCTCACTCCAAATCAGTAAATCCACTGAATTCTTCATCCTCGGTGTCACTTCTGAGCAACTCCGCTTCCTCTTCTGTGTCGCTGTCGTCAGACTCAGCATCAGTTCCAGTTAGAATGATTCCGGCCTTTATGAATCCCGACAGGATGGTTTCAGGTTGTCTCTGAAGTCATAAGTTTCTCGCTCTCTCCAAACTTTCTTTCTACTGCTCGGTTACCATTTTCGGCTGAATATTTCGCTACTTGCATCATATAATCTGCAAAATTGTCTTTATAGGTTTATATAAATGTAAAATTTTCAGTGATACAGAACTAATAGTGCGATTGACTGACATGATACAAACAGGAACAGCGACTCTTTCTGCAAGAGACATGCGCAGTAGAGCCAAGTGACAGTGGTACAGGAGGAACAGGAGGAGCAGATACTGACACACAAGACTAGAATCTTCACGGTTGTCAGTGTGAAAATTTTAATAAAGTCGCACCAGAGTATAAGTTGCAGAACCACCCAAACCATGAAAAAAAGTGCGACTTATAATCCGAAAAATACGGTAGTCTCATGTTGAACCCTCTGTGGTTGCCATTTGAGCATTTTTAGTCAAGACTGGATGTCCTGTGAAAGTGGGGCAGAAAGCTTTGGGGGAGCTAAGGGGGTGCACTGGCCATTGTAGGGAAGGCTAGTGCCCCCTCAACCCCCCCTGGCACCGCCCCTGGGTTTTAGATATAAAAAGACACTGGGGTATTTTGTTGTATTCAGGAGACATATTACCTCACTAACTGGACCCTTTGCCACTAAACTTAAAGCTTTATTGTTAAGTCATTAAAATTCTGCAGTTATAACACAGTCTAACATAATTCTGACCTGTTTTTGTCTTTTTTGGTTGCAGTCTACGGACGACCTCTTGGTGGCGTCGGCGGAGTGTCCCAGTGACGATGAGGACATTGACCCGTGTGACCCGAGCTCAGGTAAAACCAAATCACCTTTCTATAAATAAAACCTCACACATCAGAATGACACTTCACAAAGACAACGAAAGTCAACGGACCATACAGTTTGGCTCCGACTGTGAACCTTAAAGGGCCGGTGTTACGCTGTTTTATGATCTGCTATAATGTTGTTTCCTCGTCACAAACAGACCTGGAGATGTGTTTTGTTTCATTCACTCATGTTTAAAGCACAAAACCTGCATATTTAGGCTGGTTTCCCTCAAACAGAAAACACAGTTCCACCTTATGATGTCATGTTTTTAAACTCTTTACACCTTCACTTCACATTTGGATCATTTCATTTCCTGGAATCACCTGAATTAAATGTAAAATGAGCTGTTAACTTGAAATAGAGCTGCTCAATTATGGAAAAAATCATTATCACGATTATTTTGGTCCATATTGAAATCACGATTATTCAAATGATTATTTTTTAGTTACACGATGCATTTATTCAGCATTTCTCTCTCTCAAAAACAAAACAAAACACTTTGTTATTCATAATTCACACAAAACTTCCAAACTGAAAATAAATAAAGGCTACAAATATGAACCTTAGAGCAGTTTTTGTGATGTATAAAACATAGACAAACATAAATGTATCCAAAATAAACTATATATCCAGCTGTTTTACAATCGCCATATTTAAAAACTAAAATAAATATACTAATTTGTATACAAAATATCCCAAAATAAATGTTAAGCTTTATGATTTCAACTCGATTATTTGAGTTTGGAGATCATTTGACATGCAAATCGAAAATTACGATCAAAATTCGATTAGTCTTAACTTGAAACATCACATCACAAGTATTTTGAGCTTTGGAAATGTAAACAGACTAATAAAAATAATTAAAATAAGAATAAGAATAAAAAAGAAAGACTCAAATGTGTGAAAGAAACAAAACACAACTCCAGTTTTTAATGAGGTAATAGTTTTTGTGTAATATAGGACCTTTAATATCTACAATAGCAAGAAAAATCCTAATTATATTATGATTTTATCTGCTCACTTTTTATAAATAACAGTGTACACTACATTATTTTATAGTATTTTGCATATAAAGTCAAAAATTTTCTGTGTGGATCAATTAAAATAGCTTTCCTTGTGGAGAAACGCAACATTAAATTCAATTCAATCAAGTTTTTATACATTTTTTATTATATCTTTTTTATTTTCTAATATTTGTTGTTGTTGGCTGATTTATCTTTTCTGCTAACGAGTATTTTATTGAATTTTATATGAATTTTATTGCTGTTTTGTGTAATAATATGGGTACGTTTTATGCATTCAAGTACGTGCGGCAGTAATATCAGAGTAAAGTAAAGAGTGGTGCCGTTATTGATTTCTCGATATATTACTCTGAGGTAATTGAAGACCTGGGGCTGTGATCCCTTTCACTGTAAAAGCTTTTCCGTGTTTAACCAAAAGGCTTTCAGACCAATCGAATTATCTCCAGGTTTCATTTGTGGGACCGTGCAGACGTTATAATAACATAAAGTCTCTTCACAATGGCACCTGCAGAATGAATGCTTTGTTATTGAGTTTGAAACTGAATAAAAGATTAAAGGTTTTAAATGTAACTTCGTCTCAGAGCGTCGCCAAAACTCCACTGTCTATAAGAGGGGCGTTAGAATTCATTTAGTTCTGATTTAGACTTAGTTTAGTTCTAGTTTAGTCCTCAGTTAGACCTGGTTTAGTCCAGTTTTTGTGGTTTAGTGAAGCTCTTATGTGTTTCCAGTTTAATATGATCAGTATCTTTCACGTTCTACGACCTGGTTTAGTCCTGGGTTAGACCTGGTTAGACCTGGGTTAGACCTGGTTTAGGGGTTAGACCTGGTTCAGTCCTGGTTAGACCTGGGTTAGACCTGATTTAGTCCTGGGTTAGATCTGTTTTAGTCCATTTTTAGACCTGGTTTAGTCCTGGTTTAGACCTGGTTTAGTCCTGGTTTAGACCTGGTTTAGTCCTGGGTTAGACCTGGTTTAGTCCTGGGTTAGACCTGGTTTAGTCCTGGTTTAGTCCTGGGTTAGACCTGCTTTAGTCCTGGTTTAGTTCTGGTTTAGACCTGGTTTAGTCCTGGTTTAGACCTGATTTAGTCCAGGGTTAGACCTGATTTAGTCCTGGTTTAGTCCTGGGTTAGACCTGGTTTAGTCCTGGTTTAGTCCTGGGTTAGACCTGGTTTAGTCCTGGTTTAGACCTGGTTTAGTCCTGGTTTAGACCTGGTTTAGTCCAGGGTTAGACCTGGTTTAGTCCTGGTTTTGTCCAGGATTAGACCTGATTTAGTCCTGGTTTTGTCCAGGATTAGACCTGACTTAGTCCTGGTTTAGTCCTAGTTTAGACCTGGTTTAGTCCTGGTTTAGACCTGGTTTAGTCCAGGGTTAGACCTGGTTTAGAGTCCTGGTTTAGTCCTGGGTTTAGACCTGATTTAGACCTGGTTTAGTCCTGGTTTAGACCTGGTTTAGTCCAGGGTTAGACCTGGTTTAGTCCTGGTCTAGTCCTGGCATAGACCTGGTTTAGTTCTAGTTAGACCTGGTTTAGTCCTGGATTAGTCCTGGTTTAGTTAGATCTGGGTTAGTCCTGATTAAACCCTGATTTAGTCCTGATTTAGTCTTGGTTTAGTCTTAGTTTATTCCTGTTTTTTCCCCACATAAAAAATAACTTATAGCCAGAAGTGAATATTTTATAACCAAGTTTAGATCAAACCATAAAACAGTCCTCCGTTACTATAGCAATAACACAATTAAAAACTAAATATTATATCTTATCGTTATAAAACCTAATAGTCCTCAAAAAAAAAATCAGAAAGCACTCATCATTTTCGTGAAACCCTTGGACTGTAAAACGTTAGAGCTCAGTATCTCATCTCTGCGTCAGTTTGTTATAATGTTATGCTCGCTCTGTGCTCCGCTCCTGTACTTCAACTCATCTTTTATTTGTTTACCTGCTTTGCTCGCTACACCTTGTTACCCCGGCGCTAATTCCTTTACCCACAACGATTTAACAACGCCATAAATCCCGGCACCTCTGCTCCGCTTGTAGTTTGCTGTCACGAAATGTCAGATGCCACTAATAAAAATTGATAAATGCTGCGTGTAGCTCAGCCTCCTCCTCCTCTCTCCTCGTCTCTCGGTTTGTGGAAGTATAATCTTTAATGCGGTGATTTGCAAACAGACGTAGCAAATCAGAGTGACAGTGTGAAAAGACAACGAAAGTAAAATGTAACGTACAGTACGGCTCTAACTGTCTGACTTTTAATGAGCTGTGTCTGATTTCTGCTTTCTTAAAATGCTTTCTGAGTGTCTTAATTATTCACTACGATGAGTTTAGAAGCGTTTTTCACAACTCCAGAGGAGTTTTGTCATGACCAGGGGTGTAGTGGGTGTGGTATGCAGGGCTACGTCGTCCACCCACTTCTCCCGACGTGAGATATAAAAAAAAATAACAAAATAGCCGACAACTTAAATGTCAAACTGGAGCTTTTGGCAATGGTGAAAACAAACTTCATAGGCTCATGATATCTGCAGGACTGTTCTATAGTGACCTGAGACATGAGGGACCAGGACTGAACTAGAACTGAACCAGGACTGAACCAGGAATGAGTGTTGGGACAGGCCTGAGGTGCGCCCGCGTAGACCGTCTGGTGACTACAGGCAAAAGAACCAGCACAGAGCTCCGCCCCCCACAGGGCTAAGTGCAGCCGTCGCCCGATCGCGCTTTGTGGAAATCTTGTTCCAAGAACTCGGGGTTTAGACCTGGTTTAGATTTGGTTTAGGCCTTATTTAGTCCTGATTCAGTCCTGCTTCAGTTCTGGTCTCGTCCTGGTTTCATCTTGGTCTAGTCCTGGTTTAGTCCTGGTGTATTTCTGCATTAGTTCTGGTCTTGTCCTGGTTTAGTTCTGGTTTAGTCCTGGTTTAGTTCTAGTTAAGTTCTGGTTTTAGTTCTGGTCTAGTCCTTGTTTGGTCCTGATCTAATCCTGGTTTGGTTCTGGTGTATTCCTGGTTTAGTTCTGATCTAGTCCTGGTTTAGTTTTGGTTTACTTCTGGTCTAGTCCTGGTTTAGTTCTGGTCTAGTCCTGGTTTAGTTCTAGTTAGGTGTTCTGGTTTTAGTTCTGTTCTAGTCCTGGTTTAGTCTTTATCTAGTCCTGGTTTAGTCCTGGTTTAGTCTTAGTTTAGTCCTGGTTTAGACCTAGGACCTAGTTTAGTCCTTGTTCAGGCCTAGTGTAGTCCTAGTTTAGTCCTGGTGCAGACCTACTTTAGACCTTGTTTAGACCTAGTTTAGTCCTGGTTTAGACCTTCTAGTATAGTCCTGGTTTAGATCTAGTGTAGTCCTGGTTTAGATCTAGTTTAGTCCTGGTTTAGGCTTAGTTTAGACCATGTTTAGACCTAGTTCATTCCTGGTTAGGCCTAGTTTTGTTCTGGTTTGTAGTTTTTTGTCAGGAAATGTCAGATACCTGTAATAAAAATTGTCAAACGCTCCGTCTCTCTCCTCTGTCTCCTTTTCTCTCTCCTCTGTCTCCTTTTCTCTCTCCTCTGTCTCCTTTTCTCTCTCCTCTGTCTCCTTTTCTCTCTCCTCTGTCTCCTTTTCTCTCTCCTCTGTCTCCTTTTCTCTCTCCTCTGTCTCCTTTTCTCTCTCCTCTGTCTCCTTTTCTCTCTCCTCTGTCTCCTTTTCTCTCTCCTCTGTCTCCTTTTCTCTCTCTCCTCTGTCTCTGTCTCCTCTCCTCCTCTCTCGTTTTTCAGAAGTATAATCCTTTAATGTGTTGATTCGCAAACAGCCGTGCCCCCGAGCTGCGTCCCACTCGCGCTCACTTGTCGCATTAAAACAAGAAAGTTCATGTCAAATAATTTGTCATGATGATCCATTGTGTTTGTCCCCGGCAGCAGCAGCTCCGGCTCCGCCCACCGCCTCAACCTGGAGCTCGATTAATAAAACACACTCACACTCCGACTGTGGACTCATTAGGACAGACGCAGACTAATGAAAGTGTGGGCTTGGTCCTCCTGGAGACCGCGTTTGGGTCTGGTCTAATCCTGGTCAGGTCTTGGTTTGGTTCTCTTCTAGTCCTGGTTTATTCCTGGTTTAGTCCTGATTTAGTTCTGGACTAGCTCTGGTTTAGTTCTGGTCTAGTCCTGGTTTAGACCTTAGTTCTGGTTTGGTTTTGGTCTAATCCTAGTTTAGTCCTGGTCTAGTCTTGGTCTAGTGCTGGTTTAGTCCTGGTCTAGTCCTGGTTTGGTTCTGGTCTAGTGCTGGTTTAGTCCTGGTCTTGTCCTGGTTTAGTCCTGGTTTGATTCTGTGCTAATCCTGCTTTGGTTCTGTTCTAGTCCTGGTTTAGTCTTGGTCTAATTCTGGTTTAGTCCTGCGTTGATTCTGTTCTAGTCCTGGTCTAGTGCTGGTTTGGTTCTGGTCTAGTCCTGTGTAGTCCTGGTTTAGTCCTGGTCTGTTTCTCGTCTAGTTCTGGTTTAATTCTGGTCTAGTCTTGGTTTAGTCCTGGTTTAATTCTGGTTTAGTCCTGGTTTAGTTCTGGTTTAGTAGTTGTTTGTTTCTGTTCTAGTCCTGCATTAGTTCTGGTCTAGTCTTGGTTTAATTCTGGTCTAGTCTTGGTTTAGTCCTGGTTTAATTCTGGTTTAGTCCTGGTTTAGTTCTGGTTTAGTAGTTGTTTGTTTCTGTTCTAGTCCTGCATTAGTTCTGGTCTAGTCTTGGTTTAGTTCTGGTCTAGACTTGTTTTAGTCCAGGTCTAGTCCTGGTTTGGTTCTGGTGTAGTTCTGGTTTGTTTCTGTTCTAGTCCTGGTTTAGTCCTGGTCTAGTCTTGATATATTTCTGGTCTAGTCTTGGTGTAATCTTGGTTTGGTTATGGTCTAGGCCTGACCTAATCCTGGTTTAGTCCTGGTTTTTATTCTGTGCTAGTCCTGGTCTAGTCCTGGTTTAAGTCCTGTTCTTGTCTTGGTCTATTCCTGATCTAGTCTTGGTCTAGTCCTGGTTTAGTTCTTGTTTAGTTCTGGTTTAGTCTTGGTCTAATCCTTTATTTTGTCCTGGTCTAGTCCTGGTTTAGTCCTGGTTTAGTCCTGGTCTAGTCCTGGTCTAGTTCTGGATATTATTTTAAAAATATTTACCACACCTCATTTTCGATCCCAATTTGGTTACCATAGTGACAATAAAAAACATACTTACAGTACATAAAGCTGCACTGTGCAACTTTTCTCTTACACACCTCCTGCTTGTGCCCATGTCGATGTTAGTTCTTTGCCTAGAATATTCCACAGTATGGCATTAAAACCCATCCATTTCCATGAAGCGAGACAAGCAGGTGACGCCAACATACCAAGTTATAGTTCAGATCTGTGGAGAGGCGAGCCCACTCACAGTAACAATGCAAGATTTTCCAGTTGTTTTTTTTTTTACAATTAAAGACCTGATTGAGTAAACGTAAAAAAAATAGGTAAGTTTAAAGCTATACTGTGGAACATGCAGGTAGAGCAATAACATCACCATGGAGACAAGCAGGTGCAGATCCTCATCCAGAAAAGTTACACAGTGCGCCTTTAACAGATGTAGTTGTTAACGGAATAGAAAAGTGTGTGCTCTTTGCTTCAGTCATTACTATTCAGTCTGATGCTCTGATGACATTTCGCTGTTATTTAAATGACAATGACGAAGGATCGCGCTGGGAAAAATATGGACACGCTTGTTTCAAATCTGGACGGAGAAATAAAAAGTGATGTGAGATATTTGTACAAACACGAGTAAAAAAAAAAAGAAACATAAAGGGAAGGAACTGACAGGAAATATGGCTCAGGATTTTAAGGTAAACTGGGTCACAGCATTTCCAAAACCGCAGTATCTATAAGAGGCACCTAGTTTAGTCCTGGTATAGATCTGGTTTAGATGTAGTTTAGACCTGGTTTAGTCTTGGTTTAGTCCTAGTTTGGTCCTGGTTTAGAGTTTAGTCCTGATTTAGATCTAGTTGAATCCTGGTTTACTCCTGGTTTAGACCAAGTTTAGTAATTGTTTAGACCTTGTTTAGTCCTGGTTTAGTCCTTGTTTAGACCTGGTTTAGACCTAGTTTAGTCCTTGTTTAGATCTAGTTTAGACATAGTTTAGTCCTGGTTTAGATCTGGTTTAGTCCAGGTTTAGACCTGGTTTAGTTCTGGTTACACCTAGTTTAGAAATGGTTTAGACTTTGTTTAGATCTTGTTTAGACCTAGTTTAGTCCTGATTTAGATTTAGTTTAGTACTGGTGTAGACCTAGTTTAGTCCATGTTTAGACCTAGTTTAGTCCCTGTTTAGATCTAGTCTAGTCCTTGTTTAGACCTAGTTTAGTCCTGGTTTAGACCTAGTTTAGTCCTTGTTTAGACCTAGTTTAGTCCTTGTTTAGACCTAGTTTAGTCCTGGTTTAGACCTTGTTTAGTCCTGGTTTAGACCTAGTTTAGTCCTTGTTTAGACTTAGTTTAGTCCTTGTTTAGTCCTTGTTTAGACCTGGTTTAGTCCTGGTTTAGACCTAGTTTAGTCCTGGTTTAGATCTGGTTTAGACCTAGTTTAGTCCTGGTTTAGATCTGGTTTAGACCTAGTTTAGTCTTTGTTTAGACCTTGTTTAATCCTGTTTAAGAGCTAGTTTAGTCCTGGTTTAGTCCTGGTTTAGATCTGGTTTAGTCTTTCTTTAGATCTAGTTTAGTCCTGTTTTAGACCTAGTTTAGTCTTTGTTTAGACCTGGTTTAGTTCTTTTTTTGAGCAAGTTTTTTGCCTCTCCACAAATCTGACTTGTAACGTGGCCTGGTGGCATTGCAGATTTGTCTCCATTGAGAGATTGATAAGTTTGATGCCATTCTGTGGAACATTCGAGGCAAAGTTATTAGTCTGTTCCACCTTGTGATGTCATGTAGTGGTAGTTTTCAAGTTAACATCTACATTTACCTTGAGTTCAGTCGAGATTGACAACTCCAGGACTGAAATTATCCAAATGATTCAAGTGAAGGTGTGTGGCGTTTTTGAGTTAAACGTGCGTGAATGAAACAAAACACAACTCCAGGTTTGTTTTTGACGAGGAAACATAATAACTTTAGAAAAACAGCGTAAAAAAAGCCTTTATCCAAAATCCCAAAAATACCGGATAAAAGATGACAGTTAATTATTTTCGCATTTATCACAATATGTTTTAAAAATCAGTCTGGCACATTTAGATAAACATAGATTTTGCACATTCACAGACCATTTCACCCCTTTCTGTTTTAATATTCCCCACAGATTTGCCTAAGAATATCCCTGTTAAGTGTGACAGTGTTTTTTGTACGGGAGCCGGTGCACTGCCTGACTCTGTTACAGCCTGTCCAAGTGTGGGCGTGTGTATTTTAGTGTATCTCGCTTTTCAGTATTTTTTGGCCCTCTGTACAGTTTCCTCTGCGCTATAGAAAACACAAGCAGCCACTGTCCAAGATGGAAAGAGTACAAAAATGTCTGAGAAGCAGATATCGAGATCAACTCTGTCACCAAACTCTCAGTGGGAGTGACTGCTGCGGAGGAAGTACCACGAGGAAGTTCATATTTATGTTAAAAGTGCATTGCGTAACTTTTCTGGTGCGGGTTTGTCTCAATGGAGATGTTATTGCTTTGCCTGGATTGTTCCATGGTGTGACATTATTATTCATTATGCGCATTTCTATTGCTAAAAAATACAGTAATTCTCTCTGTGAATAGGTTTGCCTCTCGACAGATTTTCCATCTTATAGTTAATGTAGGGCCTCCGCTCAATTTCATTTCTCTCCAGCGACTAGGTCAGGAATCGGAATACATTAGACGTTTCGCAAAAACACCAGAAGTGCGAGTTTAGGCACCAGCCAATCAGCGAAGAGACATATATTCAGTGTTGGCAATGATTTCCAAAATCGAGGATTTAAAGCCGGAACAAAGAGAATGTTTGGTGAATTTTATCAAGGGGAAAGACGTTATTGCCCTTCTTCCTACAGGATTTGACGCATTACATACGACCAAATAGCAGCCATTGGTTAAATAAAAAAAAGTACCTGCCTACCATTGAGCGAACGGTTTGTACAAAGTGAAACTGGCTGATGAATCAGGCTATCTTATACTTGCCTCTCTTGAGATTACCATATTTTTCAGATGCACTTTAAATCCTTTAATTTTCTCAAAAATCGACAGTGCACCTTAATTTATTAATTCTGGTTGTGCTTACTGACCTCGAACCGATTTTATGTGGCACACGGAGCTAAAAAATCTGACAAAATGTTTTAGTACGACTTTGGTAAACTACGAAGCCGCACCGTTTGATGGAATGTCGGAGCATTACGACTGCTGTACAGTAAAGGGTGAAGTTTATTTCTGCATCGCTTCAACGCACACTGCTACTGTCGTCACCTTGTCGCAGAAAGGACGCTCGTATTCAATTGAGTCGTGTCCTTTCCTCCGATTGTTTTTTCAGAGCTTATAGTTTATGCAAATGAGCCATGTGGTTTTAAGTTTAATTTCTGTAAAACGTAAACAAATGCGCACAAAGCCGCATTAAACACATTATTACTCAATGTATATTTGAGTCCTCCTTGTAGAAAATGAAAAAAACTAACTTTATTTAAATGATCCACCCACATTCACATTCATAATACACATTTCACCAAAACAGGGAGGCAACGGCGAGTGAAATACACCACGATCTGCCAATGGATCGTGGACGCCTGGGCTAAAGGATCAGTCTCAAGTGTCGTCCGTATGTTTCGCTTAATGCGCCTTATAATCCGGTGCACCTTATGTATGAAAATAGACGAGAAAATTCAACATGATTGCGTTTTATAATCCGGTGCGCCTTATATAATAGGTTTAATCTCTGTCCTGGAACATTCTAGACAAAGCAATAACAGGTGATGGACCCTCCACCAGAAATGTTACACAGTGCACCTTTAAGTTTATTTTATTTTATATTAATTAAGCCTATAATATCGCATTTCTACAGTACATTATTTCATATAGTGAGTGAGTTATATAAGTGAAGGGCTGGTGTTAATCAATCGTGACTTTCAATTACGTTTTATTCTTTCTTATTAAAGCAGAAAATGGCTTTCAGTGTTACTTCCCTGTATAGAAATGATATGGACATTTAATATGAGTGCAATTTAACTATTTAAAAACAGTCTTAATAGTCCATTGGCTGCAGATTATTCATTAAAGAAGTTAATCAATCCGGCTCTTAATTAAAAATTGATTAATCAGACACTCAGCCTTATATAATTTGCTTTCTACACTAAGGAAAATAATACCAGTGTTTATAAGACTGACACTGATATTTTAGACTCTCAACATAAAATAATAGTAGTTTTTTTAAAAGTTGCATTGTGTAACTTTTCTGGTGAAATGCTTTTTTCCATTTCTTTGTCTGGAATGTTTCACAGTACAGCATTAAACCTTTCTATCTTCATGGAGACCAAGCTCGACCAAGTTACACAGTCAGAATGTTTGTTTTTCTAGATATTTTTGAGCTATAAAACCACCTGTATTTGAATAAATGTAAACTCGAGCTGTTTAAAGTCATACTGTGGAACATTCCAGGCAGAGCAATAACATATTGATAGAAACAAGCAGGTGAAGGACCCTCAGCCAAAAAGGTGTAAAGTCTACCGTTATGGAGTCAGTTTTGAGCCAAATAGTTCAAAGAACACTTTTAAAACATCCAGCAAAAAAGTATAAATCAAAATACCAAATTAATAAAAAAAAAAAAAAAAAGTGATTAAATAAAATAAATACATTTGCAATCAAGTTATGTGTAATTGGGTAACACTTTATAATAACTACACCTTATTTAGCCTTAATAAAGCATGAACAAAGGCTTAATTAATAATGAACAAAGACTTAATTAATAATGATTCACGCTCAGTAACTACTTAATTATTGCCTTAATTCACACTTGCACTGAATTTGCCTGTGCTGTAAATAGTTACTCATGATTATTTCATACTTAATTACTCATGAACTAACCATTTGAGCATTTATTAAACATTAGTAAGCTATGAGAGAATGATTTACAATGCAATGATAATTCAGGCAGCTATTATCTGTTATTTAAGTCTTTTTAAGAGCTTTTCGAAAGTGAACACGAATTATGCTTTATTAAGCATTTAGTAAGCGTGAGTCATTATTAATTAAGGCTAAGTAAGGTGTAGTTATTATAAAGTGTTACCTGTAATTGTGTAAAATATCTGTCTTTGACTCTTTCTCAGTTTTATTTGATGATATCTTTTTTTGGTTGCGATTCCAGTCTTCTCGTTTGCGCTGCCTGACTTTTTGTTTGCAGTTTTGTTTGCACGGACGGCTGATCTTGGAGCCTGACCCGGAAACTGTTGTAGACATTTCCTTTTGGCATTGTTTGTATGTATGTATGTATGGCATGAAAACTTTCTATCTTCATGGAGACCAAATCCGACGGAAGTTACACACAATGTTTTAGGTCTTTTTGAGTTATAAAACCTCCTGTATATGCATAAATGTAAACTAGAGCTGGATAAAGTCATACTGTGGAACATTCCAGGCAGAGCAATGACATACTGATAGAAACAGGCAGGTGAAGGACCCCAAAGAATTGTGATTTTTGGTTCATACTTGTCCAAATGAGACTCAGTTTCAGTTTTATTGTCATTAGACTTGGACAAATTTAATTAATCCACAAGGGAAATTATTCGAACACTGTAACTCAAATTACAATATAACAAAGAGTAAAAAAAAGTAGCTGGCAATGAAATTCAAATTACAAAATGCTGTGTACTGTTGCCATCTTATTACAAAGCATTGTATTGTCCACAGTTAGTGCACAGTTAGCATGCTATTTGTTGTTAATTAAAGGGCACATATTATAGTTTTCTGATCTATGTTATAAACAGACCTGGAGTTGTGTTTTCTTTCATTCACACATGTTTAACACACAAACCTGCATATTTAGGCTGACTTCTTCTCTCAAACTGAAAACAAAACACTCTGTTCCACCTTGTGATGTCATGTAGTGATACAGGAAGTGCTCCACCGTGTTTTTAAACTCCACACATCTTAACTAGAATCATTTGAATGATTTCAGACCTGGAATTATCAGTCTCTTCTGAACAAAAAGATAAAAATGTAGTTGTTAACTTGAAAACTACTACTTCATGACATCACAAGGTGGAACGGGGGATTTTGAGCTTTGGAAATGTGAAACAAAACACACAAGAATGGAACAAAACACAACTCCAGGTCTGTTTTTCGAGGAGGTAACAACGTTTTATCATGGCTTAAAGCTCACAAGAGTAATTTTTAGGACCTTCAAAGGTGCATTATGTAACTTTTTGTTTGACATATCCCTAGAAACATCTGCTTGTTGCTATGGATACGTCATAGCACTGGCAGGAATGTTCCACGCTATGACATTAAACAAATCTACTTTACATTTATTCAATTACAGGTGGTTTTACAGCTCAAAAATACCTAGAAAAACAGGCATTTCCACTGTGAGCGGGGGTTGCCTCTCCACAGATCTGACCTGTAACTTGGTCTAGTTTGTTCTCCGTGAAGATAGAAAGTTGGAGAAACGGATCTGACGGATCTTTGACGAGAAAAGTTACACAATGTGGCTTTAAAGTAGCAAAGAAACGCAAATTACAATCACAATTTTTCCGTTTTTCTGTTTGTCTCCACAGCCCGGCCTCCGCTGCCCGAGGTCAAAGTCTTCACGGGTCCGGTCGGCGAGGTGAGGGAGAGCAGCAGCACCACGGGGATGGTCGTCGGGATCGTCGCCGCGGCAGCGCTGTGCATCCTCATCCTCCTCTACGCCATGTACAAGTACCGCAACCGCGACGAAGGCTCCTACCACGTGGACGAGAGCCGCAACTACATTAGCAACTCTGCCACCCAGCCCAACGGTAGCGCCAAGGACAAGCCACTGGGCATCGCCAAAATCTCGAAAAACAAGAAAAATAAGGATAAGGAGTATTACGTTTGAAAACTGGGAGATTTATATATTAATGGTATATGTACATAAATAGTTATATCCGAACATACACAGAATTACACGAAGTTTACTCGGAAACGCAAGCACAAACATCGCCCAAGCACATCTCAAAACGCATCACATCGAAGCACACATCGAGGCACACAAACAAAGCGACAAAGGACCATTGTACAGTATCTACCAATGAGATTCTCTATGTACAAGAGTAGAGAGATCGGTTTTATTATAATTACTTCATTCCAGTTTCAAAAAGCACCAAAATCGGCGACGAAGGAGGGACCACCAACCGAGCAAGACACAATATCTCCTTCGTGCTGTCTGGACAATTTGGTAGACTTCCGAGCTTGTTCGAGCCCGAAATTACGGTTTGAACACGACGATAAAAAAGCACCTACGACGAGAGGACGGTGAAAACGTACAAAAAGGACAAAATAGGAACCCGAAAGACTTAATATGCTACCTACAGACACCAAGCACACGCATACACCACATATCTTAAATGTTAAAATAAAACAATCAACGAAGAATTAAGAGGTCGAGGCCATTTTCGAAAGACTATGCCAACTTCGGACTTTGGTGACAATGCGAGAAGAGGATGGCAAAATGGTGGAAAAGACCATTTCGTTGTGATGGCAAAAACACTGGAGAACATTGAAGAACTTGGGGAGGGAGGGGTCCAATGCACGTGAATTATCTTACTCGTGTGGTTTATACAAAAAACTTCGAAACTTACAATTCTTCTCCCGAACAACTTAAACCGGTTTGTAGCCAATGGAGGTGAAAACGTGAGCGATTATAATGTCAAAATGGTGTTTAAATTGTACTAGAAGAGTGGAGTGTAAAGGGAAGTGTGGGTATGCGCAGAGGAGAGGGACAAAAAGGTGAAATTGAGTTGAGTGAATGATGTAATGTTGTGTAACCGAGCCCTGTGTTATCAAAGCTTATCAAAAGGCAAGAGGATTACAAACCACACAACACCGACTAGAGTTAATAATTAAATTTATATCTGAGAAAAGTAACTGGAAACCAAAAAAAAAACAATACGAATGCCTTAAAATATAGAAAACTGAAGAAATGTCTTAAATACAAAATGAAGTCTATGTTGTTTTGACACAGAGAAGAGAGAAAATTCTGTTTCATTTGACTTGAAGTGAGTTGTCTTGTAGCTATCCACGGGTTTCAAAATGAACAATTTTGTGAAAAGGTGTCAAAATGTTAGAGAAAATGCAAATAATAGGAAGTTAAAACCTGTGAATATCTTACTATGCTACTACCGTATTTTTCGGACTATAAGGTGCACTGGATTATAAGGTGCAATATCAATAATGTTAAATTATCTGGTCTGTTTTCATATATAAAGCACATCGGATTATAAGGCACATTAAGCAAAACAAACGGACAACACTTCAAACTGATCCTTAGCCCAGACACCCGCAATCCACTGGCAGATCGTGGTGTAATTCGCCCGGCGTTGCCTCTCTGTCTTAGTGAATCTGTATTATGAATGTGAATGTGGGTGGATCATTTAAGTTAGTTTTTTTTTTTATTTTCCTACAAGGACGACTCAAATATACATTGAGTAATAATGTGTTTAATGCAGCTTTGCGCACGTTTGTTTACATTTTACAGAAACGAAACTTAAAACCACATGGCTCATTTGCACAAACTATAAGCACTGACAAAAACAACGCACTCCTTGTGCGCTGAAGGACCGTAAACAGGGCTTTACTCTGCGAGGCTTCAGACTACAGTAGCCGTAATGCACTGACAATCCATTAAGCGGTGTGGCTTCGTAGTTTACCAAAGTCGTACAAAAACATTTTGACAGATTTTTGAGTGTCGTATACCACATAAAATCTGTTCGAGGTCAGTAAGCACAACCAGAATTACTACATAAGGCGCACTGTCGATTTTTGAGAAAATTCAAGGATTTTAAGTTTGCCTTATAGTCCGAAAAATACGGTAAATACATGATTCCAAATATATTCATCTACAATTAAAAATATGACTGTTGCCATAGTAGTTAACAATTTTGTGTTCTCAAAACAAGTTAACAAGTTCTCAAAATGTTATAGAAAATTCAAGCAACAGGAACCTGAAGCACGTGAATATCTTTCTATACTACTATATGATTTCGAATATATTCATGTACAATTAAAACTACGACTGTTGCCATAGCGAATTAAAAAAAATTGCGAAAGTCATCCAAATGTTGCAAATAACAGGAAGTTGAAACCCGTGAATATCTTATTATACAACTAAATAAATACATGATTTCATATATATTCATGTACAAATACGACTGTTGATATGCAAAAATACGACTGTTGCCATAGTAATTAACAATTTTGTGAAAAGTCAGTGCAGTTTGGACTTTAACCCAGTGTAAGAACAAGTTGTTGGCTAATTTTCTTTGAGCACAACATTTCTTAAGCCTGACAAATTGGAAACTTTGAAGCAATCGGGGTTTGATTGTGGCGATGTTTTCCGTTTAGTACAAGGGATTACATTAGCGTACAAACTTGTAATTTGCTCGAGATTTGATTAAAAGCTCAAATTGTCGTTAACCTTTCGCTGTCATTAAGAGAAGACAGGCTCGGTGACATGGCAATAAATTATCTTGTATTATCCTCATTAACCTCTTGGCATCTTTGTAGCACAGGGCAAAACTAAAGTGTGATTTTTAAAGGTTGGGTCATATTTTAAAGTTTCAAGGCTCTGTTCACACTGAAAAATGGGACTAAAGAGGAACTAAAACAGGACTAGACTCGGACTAGACTATGACTGGACCAGGAGAAGACCAGGACTAACCCAGGACTAAATCAGGACTAACTTATCCAAGGGTTTCAGAATGATTTATAAGAAATTAAGACCATAGTAACTAACAAAATACCGTATATTTTTGAATGGGGGAAAAGTCTTCAAAAATGATCTGGACTAAACTGGACTAGAGTAGGACTAAACTAGGCTCAAACCAGGACTCAACTGGGACAAGCAGGAACACAACCTTAGGCCTATCCATGGTTTCACAAAAAAATATGAAAAATTAGGACCATTGCCAGAGTAATTAACAAAATATCTTATCTTTTTAATGGGGAAAAGTCCTCAAAAAAGGGACTAAACCAGGACTAGACCAAGACAAAACCAAGACTACATCAGGACTAAACCAGGATCAAACCTGGACTCAACTGGGACAAGCGTGAACACAACCTTAGCCTATTCATGGGTTTCTGAATAATGGAAATGTTGGACCGTTGCCATAGAAATTAACAAAATGTCATACATTTCGAATGGGGGAAAAGTCCTCAAAAATGACTCAGACTAAACCAGGACTAAATCAGAACTAAACAGGATCAAACCAGGAGTCAACTGGGACAAGTAGGGACACAACCTTAGCCTATCGATGGTTTTCAGAAAGAATTATGAAAAATTAGGATCATTGTCATTGTAATTAACAAAATATTTTATGTTTTGAATGGAGAAAAGTCCTAAAAAATGGCCCAGACTAAACCAGGACTACATCAGAACTTAACAGAATCAAACCAGGACTGAACTGGGACAAGTGGGATCACAACCTTAGCCTATCCATGGTTTTCAGAAAGAATTATGAAAAATCATGACCATTGCCATAGTAATTAATAAAATATCATATGTTTTGAATGGGGAAAAGTCCTCAAAAATTACTAAACCAGGACTAGACCAGGACTAAACCAAGTCTACATTTGGACTAAACCAGGACTCAACTGGGACAAGTGTGAACACAACCTGAGCCTATCCATGGGTTTCAGAATAATGAAAAAGCTGGACAATTACCATAGTAATTAACAAAATATCATATGTTTTGAATGGGGAAAAGTCTTCAAAATGTTGCATTTAACAGGAAGTTGAAACCCATGAATAAACCTGCTTATGACATTTGTAAAAGGGCCAAAAGAAGTGAAATAAACTTATAAAATGTGTCTTTAATGTGAAATGGTTAAATGAAAACTCCACTGGTTGGCTATAAACCTGAGTTGCTCTGAGTTCAATATTTCAAACTTTATCGACACCTTTGCCGACGGACATGTTTGGTTTTCCTACGGGCTTCGTTTTTCTGTTGTTCCTTGGACATTTTTTAAAGTGTTGACTCTTGCTAATTGTAGCTGCATAAATAACTAATCAATACAAAAACTGTGCCATGACTTGAACAAAAGAAGTCCCCCGTTTTTTGTTCTTCCAAGAGACGAAAACCAATTGAATGCATGCGAAATCGGACTGGAGAGACACGCCTACAAGGGACAGCTGTGAGTGAGATTTTCAAAGTTTAACGTCATGAAATACTAAACTTATTCCTGTTTTCGGACTTCCTTTGCCCTAAATGTCTCCCCTGGATTTTTTTCTCTTGTGTTGGAACAAATGGAGGTCGTGTCAAAGTGGAAGTTTTACATCTCTAGGTGTTTTTCATTAACCATGTTTATTTTCTATATGTACAATTTTTCTACAGTATTTCCTTTTATTTTTATTGTTACGGTTCTTTGATGAACATAAAGTGGAAATTTATTATGAAAAATAGTTTTGAAGATTACTGAGTAAATAAAATATTACCCAAGTGACCCGTGCGTTGGTTAATTAAGATTCACTGGAGGTTTGTTTATGTTTTGAAAGTGCGAGTGTGGAACAAATGAGAAACTGAGAAAATAAAATAAAAACAATCTGTGTGTCATTCGTTCATTTGCTTTTTAGTATAAAACAAAAAATAAGAAAACGAAAAAACAACTGCTTTCTTCATTATTTGTCTCCAAAACCAAAATGAAAAAATGGATAATGATTCGTTTTTTCAGTTTTTGATTTTGTGTTTAAATGAATATTGGAAAAAACAGATAACGGACGTTTCCTGTTTCCATGACTTAAACTGTGATACCGGGCTGAATCAGGACTAAACCAGGACTAAAACAGTCTCAGTCCTGGTCTCGGTCCCGGTCTGGCCCCGGTCTCAGTCCCAGTCTGGTCCT